GGTGCCTTGTTGGGAATACCCAAAACCAGAGGGCAGGCAGAATTAAAGGAATAAAAAGCGTATTTGTATTTATTGAAGGGCCTCCAGATGTGTTTAGGGCAAACAAAACACTCAGGGCTGCACCCAAAATGGACCACGGGTTTGCACACTTGGATAAGTTTGGTCCATTTGCATATTGGGGATTAATTTTTCAATTACAGCTTCAGGTAATGAAGTAATTAACCTTCAGTTTGCTCACCCTTCAATTCACTTTTGTTTCCATTTCTCAGGGCCTGAGGCAGTGAGGTGTCCTTGATTCCCAGGCCTGGAGAGGAATTGTTGTGTCTGCCCAAAATGGGGAAGCAGCAGCCAGCACTGAATATGGAGTTTGGAGTTATACACTAAAAAAATTGCAGGATTATAAATGCATAAAAACCAGAAAAGCTGAAATCCTAAGGCAACACTGAGATGAACCTTCCTGTTGTCTCTGTGTGGGGAAAAGCCATTTTTCAGGGAGGGCTCTTCCAGCAGAGCATCCCTTGGGATAACTCCGTGAGTCACAGCAGGGTTTGGTGCTTTAAAGCTCAGTCCCAGCTCAGGGTTGGTGCTCAGGGCAGAGCTGGGGGTGCCCTCTGATGCCTAGGGGAGCTGGAACAGAGGCTGCACACAGAGTTAAGGGGAATAAAATGGGTATTTATTTATGGAGAGGCCACACCCTACTGTCAGTGGCCCCTGCCTGGAAGCAAAGCAGAGGTTGGTCCCAAAATCTCACATTTTTCTAGGTTTTGGTTCATTTGCATGAACCCGCCCTCCTCTTTCAGGGTCTGAAGTTTGGAGAAACTGTCCTTGAGTTCTCAACTGGACCGGGATTGTTTTGTCTTCATCACCCCAGCCCATCAGAAAAGCACACCCAAGGCAGAATAGAACAAACCTCAAACTGAAGGCATCACTCCTGCCCTTCCTGGGGTGAGCTGTGTCCCCAGGGCCGGGCCCACGGGACCTTTGCACCCTGTCCTGCCATGGCCTCGACTCCGTGAGCGTCTCCTCGCCAGTGTTTCTCACACTGTTCTTTGCAGGCTGTGGAGGAAGCCCCATTTCTGCACCTCTCTCTCTCTCTCTCTCTCTCTCTCCACCCCTCTCTCTCTCTCTCTCTTTTCTCTCTCTCCTCTCAGCAGTTTGAGTTGCCCTCCTTGCCGTCAGATGTGTCCGGGTGCTTTGTTGTGTCCGTGTCGGGTCTGTTGTCACCGTGGAGGTTCCTCTGTGGAGCTGCCAGGAGGGGACAGGGGGTGGCCCCGGGGCCACTGCTGCTCCTCCAGCTCCAGTGGCTCAACAGGAGCCTCTGGAGAGCGGGGGGGGAGGGTTCCCATCCCTCTCCAAAACTTCCAGGCTTGGGTTTGCCCGGGGCAGCCTTGCAGCTGGAGTAGCCCAGTTTTAGGAACAGGAAGCCAGGCTGTCTCGTGGTGGATGGCTCCAGGCTGGGATTCGAGGATTCCTGGCTCCCTGCTCTTCAATCTCCATCCCAATTTCTAACCTTCCCCTCCATCTCACCCCCTCAGTCCTTCCCTGGAGAGTATTTCCTGCAAGGCACTGCAGAGGTGGCACCAGGGGGAAATTTGGGACACTCATCGAGGGATTGGGGGCACTGGAACATCTCTGGGCTCATCCCAAAGCGCTTAGAGCCTGAAGAGACCCCAAAATCCGACCTAGAGGGTTTCTTACAGATGTGTGACCGAGTCACCTCTGAGGATCCCTTACCCATGGGCAGGGGGTTGGTGACAAAACCAGCCTGGAGAGAGGTGGCAGGGCCCTGGGACACGGAGCTTCCATGTGCTCGGACGTGTGTGTGGTCAGGAGTGGTTTCTTGTCCTGGGATTTCTCTCTCTCGCTCTCTCTGCCACCGCCATCCTCCTCAGTGGTGTCCTCCAGGCTGCTCCGGGTCTCTCACCTGTTCACACCTGGTGTCTTCTTCTTCTTTTGCCCCCCCCGGGCTGTAGCTAAAACTCAGGATGGTGTGGCCTTAGAGATCCAGCCCCTGAAGAGCCAGGAGGGGGTGGAGAACGAGGAGAAGGAGAAGAAGAAGGTGAAAGTGCCCAAGAAGGAGAAGTCGGTGCTGCAGGGGAAGCTCACACGCCTGGCCGTGCAGATTGGGAAGGCAGGTGAGTGACAGTGACAGTGACAGTGACAGTGACAGTGAGCCCTGAGCTGCTCTGGTAGGGCTGTGCCTGTCCCCATTGTCCCCAGAGCTGCTGGGGTAAGGCTGTCCTTGTCCCCTCACCTCATCCTTGTCCCCATCCCCAGTGTCCCCAGAGCTGCTGGGGCAGGGCTGACCCTGTCCCCTGTGTCCCCTCACCTCGTCCCTGTCCCCAGTGACTCCAGAGTTGATGGGGCAGGGCTGTGACTGTCCCCTGTGTCCCCTCACCTCGTCCATGTCTCCATCCCCAGTGTCCCCAGAGCTGGTAGGGAAGGGCTGTGCCTGTCCCCTCACCTCGTCCTGTCCCCTCTGTCCCCTTACCTCATCCTTGTTCCTGTCCCCTGAGCTGGACAGGGTTGACCCTGTCCCCCAGTGTCCCCTCACCTGCTGGGATAGGGCTGTGACTGTCCCTTCTGTCACCTCACCTTGTCCTGTCCCCTGTGATCCCAGAACTGCTGGGGCAGGGCTGTCCCTGTCCCCTGTGTCCCCTCGCCTTGTCTTGTCCCCAGTGACCACAGAGATGCTGGGGTAGGGCTGTCCCTGTCCTCAGTGTCCTCTCATCTCGTTTTTCTCCCTGTCCCCCGTGTTCCCAGAGCTGATGGGATAGGGCTGTCCCTGTCCCCTGTGTCCCCTCACCTTGTCCTGTTCCCAGTGTCCCCAGAACTGCTGGGGCAGGGCTGTCCCTGTCCCCTGTGTGCCCTCACTTCATCCTAACCCTGTGACCCCAGAACTGCTGGGAAAGGGGCTGTCCCTGTCCTCAGTGTCCCCTCACCTCGTTCTTGTCCCTGTTCCCAGTGTTCCCTCACCTTGTCCTGTCCCCCGTGTCCCCTCACCTTGTCCTGTCCCCCGTGTCCCCTCACCTGGCTCTCATCCCCAGGCCTGATCATGTCGGCCATCACCGTCATCATCCTGGTGCTCTACTTCGTCATCGACACCTTTGGGGTGCAGAAGCGGCCCTGGCTGGCCGAGTGCACCCCCATCTACATCCAGTACTTCGTCAAGTTCTTCATCATCGGTGTCACCGTGCTGGTGGTGGCCGTGCCCGAGGGGCTCCCGCTGGCCGTCACCATCTCGCTGGCTTACTCTGTCAAGGTGAGGCAGGGCAGGAGGGCTCGGGGGGGGGTTTAAGCTGGGCTTTGCAGCACTCAGGAGAGCTTTGTCACCAGTCTCTGTTTTCCCCCAGAGCCAGGGTTGATGCAAACACGGTTGAGGTGATTCTCGTGTTCGGGTTTGGGTGTTTCTTGTATTTTATCAGAAATTACAGAAAGTGGGGCAGCACCTCCAGCTCCTTGCTAGAAATGGGGGGAAAAAATGGCCCCAGCTGAGGCTGCTTCAAGGCCTTTTAAAGCCAAACAAACCAATAAAAGTTTAACACCTCCATTATTGATCCTTTAACCCAATAATAGATTCTTAGAGTGACATTGACTGACCAACCAAAGGTCACTGCCTGAGTTCTGTGGAGAAAACTGAAAAAGAAGATGAACAAAGAGAAAGACACCACCCAAAATTCTCCATCCTGTCCCATACCCACCACTATTGTGTAAAAACCTCAAATTTAAAACCCATCACCCAGTGAAAACACACACACATCTAACCTGTAGCTGTGGAAAGGGGTATTAACCCTTTAGGTGCAGCAGAAATAAAACACAGCTACGTGGTTACCCTTCAGGATAGGAGGGAGACAAGTTTTATTTAGAAACCCCCGTGCTGAAGTACAGTTTTCCAAAATTTAAAAGACAGGGTGAATCTGATTGGTGCAGAGAGAAGACACCCCTCTGCCAGGCCTGGCCACACACTCAAACAGGTGTTTTATTTTTGTTATTAATTCCATTCTGTTGTTTTCACCAGCTTATCATCCTGGGAGAATTGCTCCCCAGCTAAAGTTAAAACCAGCTTATCATTCTGAGAGCAGAGCCGAGAAGCTCTGGCCTGGAATATTTTCCAGGCTGCCACTGATGCCTCGAGGAGCTGGAACAGAGGCTACACACAGAGTTAAGGAGAATAAAATGGGTATTTATTTATTTATTGAGAGGCCTACAAAAGCCACACCCTGGCAATATCAGTGGCCCTTACCAAGATGGAAACAAAAGGAGGGGTTGGTCCCAAAATCTCACATTTTTATGGGTTTTGGTTCATTTGCATGAACCCACCCTCCTCTTTCCACCTTGTTTGTGCTCAGGGCCTGAAGTTTGGAGAAACTGTCCTTGAGTTCTTAACTGGAATGGGATTGTTTTGTCTTCATCACCCCAGCACATCAGAAAAGCACACCCAAGGAGAATAAAACTTAAAGTTTAAGGCATCACCATCCTCCCAGCTTTCTCATGTGTGTGTCCACACTAACCTGTTGGGAAGGATGAATTAGGGAAATCTTATAAATATGAGTGCCTAGCAAAAGACTTGGAGAATATGGAAAATATAAGTGAAATAGAAATGAGAGCAATTTTTGACTGTGTGGCTGAAAGCAACTGAATGCCTGAAGGCTCCTTTGGTTAGATAATGTTGGATGCTGAGAATGCCAAAAATCAAACAGACATCCTCCCTAGGCATGGCAGGAAGGGTCCCAGATAAAATTTAGAGATGAGAAAAGCAGTAAAACACGGTGATACAGTGATTCCTATAGGTTGCATGCAAATGTTAGAGAATTTGTATCTTAGATTGGTTAATGGAAATTAAAATATTCAACATAGAATAAGATTTATTGTATTGTAAATGGGAAAATTTCTCTCTTTGTTCTTACTTTTTAAGCTCTCTTACTCTCTCCTCTCACTCTTGCTCTGTCCCTCTCTCTCTGTCCTGCTCTGAGTTGTGGCTGCAGTTCCAGCAGGGCCTCATATAAACCCAAACCCTACAAAACAAACTGCAAAAATCAAGACCAGAACACGGAGAGCACCTGAGTTTGTCCCGACCATCCCCACGAAATAAATCCTACACTAACCCACCGCCCATTTATGATTTTATCTCATCACTCACATTTACAAGCCTCCTCCAAGGTCTCCGGTGCCGAGCTGTGTTTTCCAAAGGAGCGGGGGGGGCGATCTGGAAGCACAGCAACCCCTCTCCAGATTGCTGAACACCCCAAACCCCCCATCTGTTTGCAGAAAATGATGAAGGACAACAACCTGGTGAGGCACCTGGACGCGTGTGAGACCATGGGCAACGCCACGGCCATCTGCTCGGACAAGACGGGCACGCTGACCATGAACCGCATGACGGTGGTGCAGGCCTTCGTGGGGGACACTCATTTCCGCCAGATCCCCGACCCCGAGGCCATCCTGCCCAAAATCCTCGACCTCATCGTGCACGGCGTGGCCATCAACTCGGCCTACACCTCCAAAATCCTGGTGAGGCGCCGCGCTTCGTCCCGCGCGGGGGGTGGCACCGGGGATGGCACGGGGATGGCACGGGGATGGCACGGGGATGGCACGGGGATGGCACGGCTTCTCCTGCTTTGGGAATGGGTTTGGCACTGCTTCTCCTGCTTTTGGCACGGCTTTTCCTGCTTTGGGAATGGGTTTGTCACTGCTTTTCCTGCTTTGGCATGGCTTTTCCTGCTTTTGGCAGGGCTTCTGCCTTTGGCACGGGGTTGGCACAGTTTTTCCTGCTTTTGGCACGGCTTTTCCTGCTTTTGGCATGGGTTTGGCACAACTT